AGTATATATATATATATCCATAGTATCATCTGAAGTTAGGCAAGTATTATCTTTCCTTCTAAGCAATTCATGTATCCAATATACATGAGTATACATAGTTGGGATCATAGTGTACAACCTGCATCTTGGGTACGTTTACATGTACCTTTCCTGTTCATTAGCATCATAGGACTTTCCTTCTCTTATATTTTAGGTAAAACATTAAAATACCATTTATGGACTTTTTCTTCTGTATGAGTAATATATATCAAATGCCAATCTAGACCTTCTAGGGTGCATGCTTGCAGAAGGAAGCCTGATGGAACCTGCAAATTCTATAATATATAACTTCCCTGACAGTTGTATCAACAAAGTAACTATTTCTTCAAACTGTACCCAGCTGGATAGCTAGACATGGAAGGATCCTTAGTATCCTAGAATTTTTTACTTGTTTAGGCAAAAAGTTTTTTTGGGGGGGGGCGGCGGTCGTGGGGCCTGAACTCTGGGCCTGGGCGCTGTCCCTCAGCTCTTCAGCTCAAGACTAGCGCTCTACCACTTGAGCCACAGCGCCACTTCTGCTTTTTTCTTTTTGCTTGTAGTTCTGAGGAATCAAACCCAGGGCCTCATGCATGCAAGGCAAGCGCTCCACCACTGAGCCACCTTCCCAGTCCCACAAAAAGTTTTTTTTTTTTTTTTTACAGTTGAAAGTTTATTGAAAAAATATAAATTCAGCTTTATCATTATAGATATTGTCTTTGCATGCTGACAAAGAAGAGATGATTTTCTATAAATGAAAGCCCTTCCTCCATTGCATTTGGTGAATCAAGCCTGTAACCCTTGCTATAAAGGAGACAGATATGTGGGAATCTTAGTTCCAGGCCAGAAAAGATGAAAAGTTTAAGAGACTCCATCTCAACCAATGGTTGGGTATGAACCTGGCATATCTGGTGATAAAGGAAAAGTATGAAGATTCACAATATAGATTGAATCAGGTGAAAACTGAGAACCTACAAAAAATGCATGCAAAAAGAGGCTAAAGGCAAGGCCCAAGTGAGAGAATGTTTTCCCAGAAAACATGAGGCCCTACATTTAATCCCAAGTACATCCAAAGGAAAAAATCTGCATGTACTTGCTGTATGCAGCAAAAAATAATACCAACTAACTGGGCACTAGTGGCTCACACCTGTAATCCTAACTACTCAGGAGGCTGAGATCTGAGTGCTGGGGCTTGAAGCCAGCCCAGGCATGAAAGTCCATGAGACTCTTATCTCCAGTTCACCACCAGAAAACCAGAAGTGGTGCTGTGGCTCAAAGTGGAAGAGTACAAGCACAGGCCCTGAGTTCAAGTGCCTTGGCTGCATGACTGACCACACACACACATACACACACACACACACACACACACACATACACACACATATGCATAGAGAAAGAACAAAAGAGAGGAGAAAGAGAAAGGCTGCTAGTGGGAATATAAGGAAATTATAGTTTGGAGACTCCATAAGAAATTTCACACTCCTGGGTAAACATTAAGAAAAGAGCAAGTTGGTTTGAATGTACTATGCAATTTTTAAATTTCTTTCGTATGTTCTTCCCCCTATGGTATATCTCCCGTTGCCATTTTACTTGATTTTGGTACCCTGGCATTGTATATACATTTCTTTAAATTAGGGAAGAGAACAGGAAGAACAGAATGGTGAGACAAAGGATGAAGGGTGGAACCAAAGCAACAGCGACTTACACAAGACAATAAGTTGGAAATCATCTGTGTAACTTGGGGGATGGGGGAAGAGAAAGTAGGAGAAAAATGAAATACGGGGTAACAAATTTGACAAGAAATATACTTATTGCCTTACTTTTGTAACTGTAACCCCTCTATACATCACCTTAATAATAAAAAAATAAAATGAAAAAGAAAAAAAATAAACTAAAAGGAGGTCTTGGGAAATATAGATGTTTATATGTACTGATGGAAATATTTTTGAGAATATCTAAACTCAAGTATCCCTTGAAGGAAAAGTTAGTAATAAGAATGGGATACATACTTACAGTAAAATATTGTCAGCCTTAAATATGAAGGAAATTCTACAATGTTCTATGAAGCACAATGGGTGAACAGTGAGGAAATTGTGCTAAGTGATATATATATATCAATTATCAAAAGATGAATACCATATAAGTTTATTTATCCAAGGTCCCTGGGGGTAGTTTAAATCATAGAAATAGAGAGCAGATGCTAGCATGTAGGTTGAAAGGTTTTAGTGTTTAATAGGCAGGAACTTTCATTTGTACAAGTTGGAATAGTTTTGGAGATAATAACATTACATCTAAGTGTATTTAAAGCCACTAAAGGGTACACTTAAAGTGACATTTACAAATTATTGTAACGTCTATTGTATGACAAGAAAAATATATTCATTGAGAAATATGGCAGCATGTAATGGCTATAATGAAAATAAACCAAAGTCATTATAAAACCACAGATGCTGAGTCAGTTGCTCTTGAAGTTGACTTTCTTTTCCTTTTCGTTCATTCATTCGTTCATTCTTTTGTTCGTTCGTTCCTTCCTTCCTTCCTTCCTTCTTTCCTTTCTCTTTCTTTCTTTTTCTTTCTCTTCTGTCCTTCCTTCTTTTTCTTCCTTTTCTTTCCTTCCTCCTTTTCTTTTATCTTCATTGTAAAGTGGTCAGAAGAGTAGATTGGGGGCCCAGAGACTGGGGCAACCCCTGCTGAGACAAAACTTATATCCAAAAATTGCTCAATGTCTTGGCCAAAAGGGCTTATGGCAGGGAAATAATTACTCTGTCCAGAAGTACCTATTTCAGGATCCAAATGCCACCATGTCAAAGCAGTTAAGAGAGAAAGGGCAGAGAGATGGAGTTTGTATTTCAATAAACTAATTCAAGAAGGCAGGAGAAGGAAAATCACAAGTAGAGAGGATTGTTGAAGGAGGTTGGCTTGGACCTATGTAGGTTGAGAATGTGCCACATGGATTGAAGTGAGAGCAAGGAGCGTGGTGCATCTGACTGGGGCTGGTTAGTACAAGGATATGCTTTATTCATTTTAAAGAGAGATCCTGAGAAAACATGAATTTAAGTTAAAAACTTCCTCATCCATTAAAGAAAAAAAATGTTTCTGGGAAACATTTCACATTTTGAAGCCCTTTGCCCCTTTGCTTTCCTCTTAAACATTTTGTTCATATTCACACTTGTTCTTAAAGAATCTGTTTCAATTGTCTACTTAACCTTTGGTCAGTTGCCCTCAAGATCCTTTAGACTCAGCTCTTTGCTGAGTCTAGGCCAAAATTTATAATGATAACAAAGATCTTGGAACCTCAGAGAGCATTCCATGACCTGAGCCATAAGCCTGGTCTCCCCTGCAAATGTATCTGAGTAGTCTAGATACATCCTACATCACCTGGATACATTCAGCACCCTCTCTTCACAGTATTATTCTCTGCACCTTCTGACTGCACAGCCTGGGGGAGAGGATTGCTTAATAGTCAGCTGACACTAAGCCATCAATATAGCTCTGAGACAGAACAGCCTGTGTAGATTCCTCTGCTATATTCCTGCAGGGCTAGAGAAGGGTGTTTCTCCCAGTTATTCATTTGTAGCTATTTGTTTGAATGATTTGGTGTTGATCTCTTTCAACTAAGCCTGAATCTCCTTGATAGCTGATCTAGTTCTTCTTCATTCCCATGCCTTTAGTATTCAGTGCTGCATCTGAGGTTCAAGGCTGCACAAATACACATATGCTAGGCAGAGGCTAACTGACTCACCCAAAGCATGGTTCACCACCATTTCAAACTCTTTCCCAATGAATTACTTGTGGCTGTGAAGAGAGACTATTGCAGGATTTGATTATTTCATGGAAGACATTCATTAGCTCACCCTATTCATACTGGTCCAGCCTTGAATGCAGCTTCTGTCCAATCATTTCACTCATGGCTCAAATCCCTACAGCATTGATAGCCCATATTCAAATAATTCCTTCCAGCACATAGCTTACAAAGTTGTCACTTCCAAAGGATGTTTGCAACAACTAGGAAATGCTTATTCATTGTAGGACTGTCACTGAACTGGGTTAGGTATTCACTAGCGTCAGAATTGTTACTGGGTATATTGTTATTATCAATATTGTACACGTGGATTCAGGCATTTCCCATCAGATGGTGTTTCATTTCTTTATCATGAACTAATTAGTGAAAAATACTTAAAAATTTAAGACTTGGGGAAACCAACTAAGAAAATGAGTATGCCATATGAAGAAGAAGAAGAAGAAGAAGAAGAAGAAGAAGAAGAAGAAGAAGAAGAAGAAGAAGAAGAAGAAGAAGAAGAAGAAGAAGAAGAAGAAGAAGAAGAAGAAGAAGAAGAAGAAGAAGAAGAAGAAGAAGAATTAAAAAACAATTATGCCTTAAAAAACAATTATGCCATGTGAAGACCATAGAGTAGTAGTCCAATATGTATGGAAGAAAAGAGCTCAGCTGGACTCCAAATTTAACTGACAGCCAGACTGCAAGAAAGATCTGAAGCTCCTTTCCATGGTAAGGTCCCCAGGAGATACTCTCCCTTCCTGGATTTACCTTCGAAAGCAACTGTGTGTCCATAGGCCAAGCATAGACTCAGGAGTTGGGATGGAATAGAACAATCCCACGATCAGGAAATCTTGTAAATTCAGGAACCTGCAAAATGTTGTTAATTTTTAACTTTAAACTTCAAAATAGCTAAAGTTAGAATCCAAACGTTAATAACATTTCACTTTTAATGCTATAAAGGTGGCTTTATACTACACACTAGGGTGAGACTGCTGTCTTCTAATCCAAAAACAAAACAAAACAAACAAACAAAACCTAGGAAGTGATCAGCTCCCTAGCTGGTAGTCAGTGCAGGGTGTTGAATTTACCTTGTGGTTGAGGATGTCTAAGCTGGGGATTTTCACTAAGAGTGGCTCATTTAAGACTCCTGGACTTCAGCCAGCAAGCCGATAAAACCCATCTCGGGGCTGCGTCTGCGTCTCCCCAGGCTGTGAGGTTCCTCCCGTCTGTGCCAGACCCGGAGCAGAGATAGTGCAGGCGCTGGGTAGCAGCGCTGCTGTCAGCGGGTCCTGGCCTCGGTCTCCGCGGGCCATGGCCTCTGGCGCGCCGGGGGAGCGGCTGCGGGAGGAGGCCAGGTGCTCTGTGTGCCTGGATTTCCTGCAGGACCCGATCAGCGTGGACTGCGGTCACAGCTTCTGCCTCAGGTGCATCTCCGAGTTCTGCGAGAAGTCCGAGAGCGCACAGGGGGGCGTCTACGCCTGTCCGCAGTGCCGGAGCCCCTTTAAGCCCTCGAGTTTCCGACCCAACCGGCAGCTGGCCAGCCTGGTGGACAGCGTGCGGCAGCTGGGACTCGGCCTGGGCGCCGGGGCCTCCAGGGCGCGCCAGTGTCCCTGGCACCGCGAGGACCTCAGCCGCTTCTGCGAGGAGGACCAGGTGGCGCTGTGCTGGGTCTGCGACACCACCCCGGAGCACCGGGGCCACAGCACCATGCCGCTGCAGGAAGCCGCCAGGTGCTACCAGGTGAGGGGTGCTGGGTGCTCCTGTCCACGCTGGAAAGGTCCACGCTTGAAATCTGGGAATACTGCTCAGACTTGGAAGCAGTCGCAGTTAGAAACGTTAAAGGACTTGCTTTGAAACAAAGCCACTCGCCTGAATTTCCTAAATAACTCCTACTGTCCCCCATCACTCCCCCGCCCACCTCCTCCCTTTCCCACGGCTCACTGGGGTTAGGTTTGCCTGTGTCTGTGATCACCCCTGGTTGAAAACTCAGGGCAGACGCTCAGATGCCCGTCTTCACTTCTGATTGTCCACACAGCTTTGCTGAAGCTCTTCCTCCCCCTGTAATTTCACCTGGTCTTATTTTTCCTGTTGCTCAAAGTCTGAATCCCATGACTGGAGAAAGTGAGTTAATGGGTTACTGTTGTACACCTTCAGTGTAAACGCTCTTAATACCTTTTTTTTTTTTTTTTTTTTTTAGCACTTATTATCATTAAGTAGTTGTCCAAAAGAGTTTCAATTGAACATGTCATTTTGTGAGTCTAATGCATTCTGATCATCATTCTCTCCACCTCTAATAATTTTAATTTGCACAATAATTGGCACTATTCTATTTGTATAGCACTTAGCTCCATTTTAATTCATATTGCTACCCAAACAAGCCTGAAGTTTGGCCGTTTGTTGACAACAGCATTTGGTTGGGCATGGTTTCTGATTCCCTTTAAAGTGTGCACATGCCTCTGTCCCTTGAATAGGATTCTAGGATCAGTAGAGAATTTGTGATATAAACATCCTCAGTGAAAAGCTGGTCCCTACTGCAACTTTGGCCCCTGAATGTGGCATCTGTGAAACCATACAGAATCTCCCACACCAGAGAGCCTCAAAAGCTCATAATGTAAATACATTTAAATCCCCAGCCTTGGAAACACCTACTAAAGCAAAAGAGGTCAACATCATCGTCAGTCTACTGACATACTTAAAGTAATTAATTCTATCATTCTTGAATGGATGGCAAATATCAGCTTTCTCAAAATGTTTATTCTCTTTGTTTTAAATTGTGACTTGGGGTATTTCATCTTGTCATACCTATTTTCCCTGGTTTCAACTTTTGGTTTCTGTTGATTTCTTCACAATTCAGATACTCCATACTTTAAAAGTTATGTTTCTGATAGTTTAAATCCTGAAAGTACCATGAGAAAACATGTCCAATGTAATAGTTTTAAATGCTTTCCATATTTTCCAACAGTTTTCAATTAAGTAACAAACAAATATCATCTTAGCTTCTTAGTCTTGCCATTCAAGATGTTCAGGACTCTGTTATGTTTTTTACTTCTCTCTTATCCTAACCAAACATGGGATCCAGCAAAACTCGCCTAATCACTGTTGTACCCAAACTTGGCACCTTTTCTTCCCCTCCTGTGTTTACTCACTATTTCTTGAGTTTTAGGGATTTTTTTTTCCTTCTACAAGAATTAAAAAGAGTAGTGTTCTTTGTAAATATCAAGACAAGTGCCAACATTGCAAATACTAGTTTTTTTAGTATGGAATTACTTTATTATTAATATTATTATTATTATTCATACAATCTTCAACATACTGGTCTATTTATTTATTTACATATTTATTTTATTTGAAATATTACCCATCAAGGTTTCTTCTGGACAAATTAACAATACAAATGTTATTATTATTAAGCACTTTATTTTCCATATAAAACCATATCACTTTTGGATTGCAGCAATGTTTCCTGTAACTAAACATGTTGGAAATGATCTGAACAACTTGGCAGGGGAGGTTAGGGGGAAAGGAAAGCAGGGAGAAAAACAAGGGAAGGGGTAAGAAGTTAGACAAGAAATGTAATCAGTATATTACTTGTGTAACTATAATCCCCTCAGTACATTACATTAAAAATAAAATTTTTAAAAAATAATAAAGCACAAAAATTTCATTTACCATGATGTAGCTTTATATATTAAGTATGAAAAACTTCTTTAAAATTGACATTTCATAAACAATATTTAACACAATATTAAATTGTGTTTCTTATTGAATGTTCTGCAACACCATATTTATATTCTATCTTGTGAATATAATATATATTAGATTCTCTCTGTGCCTGGGCACTGTCCCTGAGCTCTTCAGCTCCAAGGCAAGCACTCTACCACTTGAGCCACAGCGCCACTTCAGTTTTCTAGTGGAGATAAGAGTCTCACAGACATTCCTGCCTAGTCTGGCTTTGAACCATGATCCTCAGATCTCGGCCTTCTGAGTAGCTAAGATTATAGGTATGAGCCACCAGCACCAGGCTGTAGTTTTTACAGTTTGATTACATTTTACTATTATAAACCAGGATGCAATGAATATTTTCCAAATAAATCTTTGTATTTGATATTCAAATACATTTATTTTCATCTTAGTGATGAATTCTATAATTATCTTTCTATATAAAAAGTATATATATATATGCATATATAGTGTGTGTTTGCCAATCCTGGGACTTGAAATCAGGGCCTGGGTGCTGTCTCTGAGCTCTTTTACTCAAGGATAGTGCTCTACAACTTCATTTGCAGCTCTACTTCTGGCTTTTTGCTGTTTTTATTGGATGGAAGTGTCTCGTGGACTTTGCTGTCCACACTGGCTTTGACCTATAATCCTCAGATCTCAGCCTCCTAAGTATATAGGATTACAGGCATGAGCCATGGCCTCTCAGCCTAATGCCATTTTTTACATGTTTCCAGAAACAGTTTTATCTGCTCTTTGTGTTTTTCCACATCTAGGGGATGTTAGATCCTAAGCAAGGACACCTGTAATGGTTTTGGCTTATGTTTCTAAACAGGTAAAGCTCGAAATAGCTCTGGAACATGTAAGAAAAGAGATGGAAGAAGCATTGACTCAGGAGGTCAATGTGGGGAAGAAGACTGTCATTTGGAAGGTAAGGGAAGGTTGGGGGTTCTGGAAGATTAACTGATTACAGAAGCCAAATCTCCTAATTGCTCAAAAAACAACATGTTAGTGTCATCTTGGATCATCTTATCCTTCCAATTATATTGTTTATTTTTGTTCTGTTAACATGCATTGACATTATCTGAAAAAAACTAAAACTGAACAGCTTTACTCTCTTAAGCATATCTAAACTCACTCTTGTATCTCTATTACTTACTATTGTAGTGAACAAATAAATTGATTAAATGAATGTAATAACATCACATGACTTTATAACAGATGCAGTATACCTAATAGTAATCATTTCATCTTATTTCCTGACTTCCATCCAAATATTCCTTTTCCATACCACCTAGTTCTTTTTCTTATCATTTTATGTACATATATGCATGCATACACACATACCCTCACACACATACACACACACACACACACACACACACACACACACACACACACACACACACACACACACTGTACTTCTTAAACTGAAGTGGCTTTACCATCTTCCCCACATGTTTTGCAGTATCTGGTGATAGTTTTGGCTGTCATACTTCTGGGAGGTATAATATGATACTCTCTATTGTGTAGGGCCAGAAATGCTGCTAAACACCCTACCGTGTGTAGGACAGTTCCCATACTCCATGACAGAAAATAATCTTGTCAAACTGTCAGTAGTGGTAAGACTATGAAACTGTATATAGACCCTATGGTTATAACATACACATTGAGATGAATAATGAGATCCCTGTACAAGGTCAAGTCAGTCTGCATGGCTTTCACTAATATACCCATAGGAGCCACATGTAACAAGGTCAAGTATGATAAAACTTGTATCTGTATTCTGCAATGCCTTTCTTTCTGTTTCTGCAGTTATTATTGTAGCACTAAACAGGATGGTGTGAAGAGATGGTAAACTCAGCAAATCCCTTCTCCTAGAATGATTTCTTTTTTAAAAAAAAAAACGTGTTTATTATGAACTATTTTCATTTATTTATCTATTTATTTTTGTCGGTTGTGAGGCCTGAACTCTGGGCCATGGGCGCTGTCCCTCAGCTCTTCAGCCACTTCCAGCTTTTTCTGCTTATGTGGTACTGAGTAATCGAACCCAGGGCCTCATGTATGTAGGGCAAGCACTCTACCACTGAGCCATCTTCCCAGCCTAGAATGATTTCTTATACCCAGATATATTACCACTCTTTTCCAGCAACTGAGACATCAGACCTACTGTTCTATAGAACAGCTTCCAATATGGAGGAATAATGCATATAATTTACATGTTTTTCATTTTTCAGAAAACAAACTGCAGGGTCAGAATCATGCAACTTTAGTAAATGACCAAGATTATTGAATCAAGTGATTTAGAAAGTGATAAAAGAAAATAGGAATGGAAAATTTGAGGAAACTTTTATCTTAAGAGATTTGGAGAGAAATGATACTGGGTTTTAAAATGTGATGGTTTTTGTTTTTCAATGAATTTCAAAAATGGTAAAGTCAGAGCAGAGAATTCAAGATGTAGAGATTTTGAAAATATGATTCATCTGTAATTTCAAACTGGCTTTCTACATTCTTATTTCAAGAGAATAAGATTTAGATACAGCAACCTTTTAGCCACAGACTTCCTTAGGTCTACTCAGAAACTGTAGATGGGATATGTGAGTAGAAATAGTATTGTAAATTGAAATAGTATTCTAAATTGAAGTTAACCATGAAATAAGTGATCAAAGTCCTGGTTCTACAGTGAGCAGCAATGAATGGCTGCTTTCATACTATCCAATCTAAGTATCTTCTTCACATTTACATATTTTTTTCATCTCTGTGCATTGCTCAGTATTTGTGCCACTAATCTAGTAGCAGGACAGAAACTTCTATTGGTGTCTATACTGTGCCAGTCATTGTGCTCTGAACCACAGCTATGAACTATATTACCCTACATTCCTCTTGAAACTTCTATCTACTTTCCTCCAAGCCTATAGCAATAGAGGAACTGAGTCTGACTTTCTCAGATTCTGGGTTTGGCAACTCTGCAAGACATTTGTCCAAAGCTTCCAGTTTCTGTGTGTCGTTGGAATTCACTTATCAGTCTCCAGAGCTTCAGGCCTGAAGGGTCTGGGAACTGAGGACATTACTTTCTCCAAACTCCTGCAGGCAGGAAGTCCTGATCTTTTACCCTACTCTCTGCTGACATGGTCTACCATGTCATTACAGGAGAAAGTGGAATCGCAGAGGCAGCGCTTCAGGTTGGAGTTTGAGAAGCACCGCGGCTTTCTAGCCCAGGAGGAGCAATTGCAGCTGAGGCGGCTGGAGGAGGAGGAGCGGGCTACCCTGCAGAAACTGCGGGACAGTAAGAGTCAGCTGGTCCAGCAGAACAAGGTCCTGAAAGAGCTGGTGGAGGAACTGGAACAACGATGCCAGCGGCCAGCCCTGAGTCTACTGGAGGTGAGGAGGGATTGGGTTCAGACAGATGTGCAGCTAAGGACACAGAAGTGAGCACCCCAGGATTCACCAACCAGCACTTAAGCATCCTTGCTCTCAGGGAAACAGCACCCTAGAACTTAATGCCAAGGCTGCATGATGCCAAATGCTAGTACCACAGTCAGAAGGCACTCTAGAGAAGTGGATAGTTCATATTCAACACAGACAATCCTAACTTCTTAAGAAAGTAACCGATTTTGGAAATCATTTCAAGATTTCTGCAAACTTATACAGGAACAGATCATCACCCCATCCTGGCTGAGAAGCAATAGATTTTTCCGAGGTGATACCGGCTGTTTTTCAATGACATCCATCCTAAAAGCCTTTCACAAATCATGCCCGTGTAAACGGCCTAAACTATGCTTTCAGTTGTCTGGCTTGAAACTTTCTTGCTCAGATTTAAGGCCAGGAAGCTTTACAAAACCACGGTGGGAATCAGAGCAAAAAGGATAACAGAGATCAGGAAAAGCTTGGTTATATCGCTTCATAAAGACATCAAATGCAAAGTCAGTGTGAAAATTGGGTTGTTGCTGTGTTATCTTTACAGACCACTTGCAACATAAACCCATTTGGGATCAGTTTTAGTGCCTCCTCTGCCACGACTACTTCAGGGAATTCTCACTTATCAGTTGACCCACAGAGTACTTTTATTTCATTTGTCTTCTTAAATCTCTAACATATCTATGTATAAGAAAAGTTTAAGTTTTGGTATTAACAGTGTCATCAATATTACTGTTCCTTTCTATATAAATAAATAAAAGTTCTAAAAGAAATTAACTTTATGTACTGCAAGCAGAAAATAAAAGGAATTTCAATTTCTCCTCTTCCTTCTCCCTACCCTCCTCTACCTCCTTTTTCTTTTTTTTGTGCCAGAACTGGGGTTTGAATTCAGGGTTTGTGCTTCCACTTGGCTTTTATGTCCTAGGCTGGCACTCTACTACTTGAGCCACAGCTCCACTTCCAGCTTTTTGGTGGTTAGTTGGAGATAAGAGTGTCATGGACTTTCTTGCCAAGGCTGACTTCAGATCATGATCCTTAGATCTCATCCCCTTGTATAGCTCTGATTACAGGCATGAACCACTCACCCTGGCCTTCAATACTTTTACAGTATAGCATACATTGCCTTTCTTCACACTATTTCAAATAACACCTTATTTTAACTAAGTATTCCCTTGTACCACATGAATATTAAAAAATGTAATATAATTCTTAGGGGGAATATATTCTATATAATTTATATTTATGCTCATTGCCTCCTTTCTCCTTTTGATATCATTTTTATACATGATAAGACAAGTTGTCTCCTTGCTTTTATGCTGTCAAAATGTATCTGACTGCTGACTAATTTTAGAGAGCAGAGATGTAACACATTAACTTATTTGGTTATCTACTTTGAGATAAAATGTTGATGCTGCCAATTGCTTCCTTTCCTTTCAAGGGCACATAAGTAGCTTTGCTGTGATACTTCAAAGACTTAGAAATTTGAAGTTCTCTTACAAAGGTATTGAGGGTAGTATTTTATATTTACAACTACATCTTTACCTCAGATAAGTTCTGAAAATAGTTCAGAGTTGTTTAACCCTAAATTCGTTTGCACTAGGTACATGGGCCAATCGACAGAATTTATCTGTTCAGAAAATAGTCAACTTGATAGATTTCATGGGAATTAACTTGTATACTCTCTGATTCTGTTCTAATAATTATGACTATATCAGTTGGGATTTCTGAGAGTGTTAAATTGTAGTGCATTTCTTTTTGCTTTAATAAACAGACATTCATTATCCCCTACAATTTTATCTTAAATATTAACAATTTGTATTAACCTCTTACTTACATTAAACTTTAACTGTCAGTAGCAATTACAGATTTCACTCATCTCTGTCCATGGTTCTCTTTTAGGGTGTAAGAGACACTTTGAGCAGGTATGTTTTCCTTTTATATTGACTGGGGTTTGGTAGAGGTGGAGTTGGCTGGTCGGTAACTATACTGGCACCTGATGGTTCTACGTTCTTTTAGAAGTTCAGCTGTCATTCGGCTGGAACCAGAGACCATTTCCATGGAGCTAAAGACAGTGTGTTGCATTCCTGGGATGAGGGAAATGCTGAGAAAATTCCAAGGTAGGCTGAATCTTGGAGCCTTGGGTGCTCTATTACCTGGGGCTGATTGTTTTTACAGTTTATTATATACTAGTCAGAGGCAGAAGAACAGCAATAACAAGCATACTCAACATCTTACAGGCAAAAATCAGCAAGGTTTACTTTGAGAGCATTACTACCACACCCAGATTATATGAACTTCTGTGTACTTGCTTTTTAAGATTTGGGACAGGACTCTAATACAGAATTTTAGAGGTGAAGTTTGGTAATTTATCTGCCTGGGCTGGGAAATCTCAATTTTCCAGGTCTCAACCTCTTGGGTACCTAAGATTACACATGTGAGCCATTGTTGCCTGGCTAAACAAACCAGTTTTTTTTTTCTCCTATCCTTTCATATTTCACTAAACCTAGCACCATAGTCACTAAAATGTGTATAAGTTTCTCTCAGCAAGCACTGATGAGATCTCCATTGATTTCTCTGGGTGTCTAATGTAGGTCAATTTTGACCTATCCACATGAAGATGGTAACAGATCTTACCAAATGCCTAGCTCATAAAGATGTCTTCCCAAATCCAGATGTCAATGATAAACAGGTTGTGACCTGTGCTGCTGACCAACTAGTTATAAATCAAGTATCTCCTGATTCTATCCTGAAGTCCAATTTTCTAGACTGGCTTACCCGATTCAGAGAAATACTTACTTGTACTAATTTGTTGTAAAGGATATAATACAGACCATAAATAAATTTCCAGATGAAAGAAATGAATAGGGTAAGGTGTAAAAATCAGATGATAGGAGCTTCTACTTTATCTGGCTGCCATTCCTTCCAGGAATGTTTTCATCTATCTAGAAGTCTTCAGTTCTTTTGCATTTTTAAAGGAATGTGTAGTTACAAGTGATTAAATCATTGGCCTATCAGCTCAGTCTTTTATGAGTTCCTCCTCAGAGGGACAGATGACTAAAAATTTCAGCTCTAGAATCTCAGAGTTGGTTTTCCCGGTAAGTAGTCCCATGCTGAGGCTATCTAGGGAGCTCAGCATGCAATCATCTGATTGACATAAAGAATACTTACCTCAGTTGAGGACCAGGCTGCCCCTAGAGCTATATGAAGGATGAAGATCAAACATGCATTGAAAAATATCACCATGATTGCTCAGTGTTTTTAAACAAATTCATTCTGAAGTAGGCCAAGTAACTTACCTGAAGTTTACACTGGCTAAAAAATCACTATAAAGTAGATGGTGGAGTATCCCTTTCATATAAAATGTGTTTTGGAATACTTGTAAATAATTCTAATAAATATAGGAATTAGGCATCCAGATAATATGCATGTAGTTAGACCGATGGACCTGATTGCTGTAGTACATGTGGTTCACTGTGACCAGAGTAATATCACTTCCAGTCATATAACGTCACACAGTTATGAGGATGAATAATACCAGAATATAAACATGGGATTAATTTAGAATTCTAGATGAATAATATCAGAATATAAATAGGAGATGAATTCAGAATTCTATCATAATAACTTTGAATAACAGATTTCAAATGAATGGGAATTCTCTATATCTCATCAATAATAAAAACACATGGGAATATTCTACGAAGTGCATTCAAATACTCTGTACATGTACCAAAGGAATTTATATGATTGTGTATTTGGTTTCTGATATTGTCAATAGCTATGCCTGAATTTGGGGAATATAATAATGCCTGGATAAGCAGCGATAATGGTAGAATAAGCAAGAAAATAAGGAAAATTCACTGCCAGGTGAGTGCTTGTATGTCTCTTTAGGAGTTATCAGAGAGAGAAAAGTGAGAAATCCTGAGAATTCATGAAATGAGATTCTCATGAGAAACCTGAAATTGTAGCTCCGTGGTAGGACTGAAGCAGTTCTCGGCACTTCAAGAAAACAAAAAGCTCTTAACGTTTCGTAATGCCTTCTGATTTTGGAAACAATTCTTTCCACAGTTGATGTGAAGCTGGACCCTTCCACGGCGCATCCCAGCCTCCTCCTGACCACAGACCTGCGCAGTGTGCGGGATGGAGAGCTGTGGAGAGATGTCCCCAGCAATCCTGAGCGATTTGATACGTGGCCGTGTGTCCTGGGCCTGCAGACTTTCTCATCCGGGAGACACTACTGGGAAGTTGTGGTGGGAGAAAGAGCAGAGTGGGGGTTGGGAGTCTGCCAAGACACAGTGCCCAGGAAGGGGGAAAGCACACCGTCCCCAGAGCATGGCGTCTGGGCCGTATGGCTGCTGAAAGGGAACGAGTACATGGTTCTTGCCTCCCCCTCCGTGCCTCTTCTCCAACTGGAGCGGCCTCGCTGTGTAGGCATCTTCCTAGACTATGAAGCCGGGGAGATCTCCTTTTACAACGTCACAGATGGATCTCACATCTACACATTCAACCAAGTGTTCTCCGGTGTTCTCCGGCCCTATTTTTTCATCTGTGACATGGCTCCTCTGTTTCTGCCACCGATGACTGAAGGAGAGGCTGGAGATTGGGCATCCAGGGGTTTTCTTGGCCTTGCCTCTAGTGTTGGAGATGCACTGCCCTGAAGTTGCGTTCTCAAGATGTCCTGCTACCCTGACAAACACCTTGGAGTGGAGCACAGCCTATGAAGACTGAACAAATGCCACATTGGGACAGCACTTTATTTGTCATTGTGGTGGAGGTTATCTCATGAGGACCAAAGAGAAGATGAAAATTATTTGCATATGGAGGAATGGAGTATAATAATTTTGGAAATGGAGCAAGCTCATCAAACTGTTTCTAGATGGCTACCTATATGTTTCAATGCATTCTGCGCTACTGGCGGTGTATGGAATGCTTTCTGTACATCTATTCTTTTCCATGCCTTTTCATCCTTAATGTTCTTTATGTTAAGATTTGGAAATGACAATTCTCTGTTTTGAAACAGGTTCTCCCTATGTAGTCCAAGTGTCCTTAAACTGAATATCCTCCTGCCTTAGTCTTCTCAGTTTAGGAATCACGGACATCAATTAATTCATTCAAAGCAGTCTGATATTGTTCTAGATAAGGTCTATAATTCTGAATGTTTTCCTTCTCATATTCCTCATTTATTTCCTGTCTCTTGCGCTCTCTTTGCTCTTTGCCTCTTGTTAAGCCTTATATTTCTTGCTAAAATAACATACAACTATTCCTTTATATTATGTTACATATGTTCCCTATCACCATTTTTATATTTTTTACTGTTCTCATTCTGTAACTATTTTTTGAGTTATGAAATGCACTAATGTGAATCTAATATCCCCAATTCCTAGAATTTTCCTCTTCCTCTTCCCATGGCCTGTTCTCCACGTTTTCCATGCTTTCTCCTGAGTTTTATCATCGCATTGTGCATTTTAGCATAGTTTAGGTCAGTCTTCAAACCACTCCAAGTTTTTCTTCATCTTTTGCATTCTAATCTTACAAATAGTCGAGCATCTTCTGCTAGGACTTTTTGTCTTCTACTTTGCAATTCTCAAAAGGTTTCCACAATTCCCTCTGTCTAGAATATTACCACAAAGTAGTTGAAATCCCCACCAATTTTCAGACCTTCCTTATCCCTTCTTCCAAATACTAGCTTTTTTAATACACTCTGAGTTCAAAATAGACATAAAACTCAATATGTCTAAACCCAAACCCTTTGAATCTCCTTATTGCAAAAATATAAAGGCTTCCCCATCTGTGTGCCTGGCAACGCCTTTCAGTCTGTTGCTTAGAGCACCATCTGAAGTCCCTCCTTCTTGACTTTGTCATTCTGCATCCCACCCCACAGCAACAGCAGGCCTGAGGCTCTGCCATTGGAAGGTGCTCGGAGTGTGGCCAACTCAAATCACTGTGCTGCGGTGATGGCAGTCTGACTTCCAACCCCCTCCTTCCAGATTGCTGCATTTGACCCTTCTCACATTCAGTCGCTATACCTCATTTGGATTTAGGCATGAGTGCCCCAAACAATGGTGTCATTGCAGTGGCCTCTGGCTAATTCTTCGCAGTGAGCTCTTAGGTCCTAGAGGAACTGAACCCCAGTCCCCTTCCCTAAGTCTGTCCCTCACCTCCAGCGTGCTTTCTTTTTTTCTTCCCCACCTGCCCCAGACTCCAGGCTGAGTTTGTATCAAACAAGGTACTTCTTATCCCAGGGCCTTTTCCTAGATGGGATTTCTTCTTGAAATTCACTTTTTACTGATGCCGACGATGATTTCTTCCCCTTCCTCCTCTAAACCCCCTCACAGCCAGCCAGCTTCTTGGTGAGGATATGCAGTGCTACTTCTAGAAAGCACCCCGCCCCCCAGGGATCCCCTTGCTGGTCTCTCTTACAGCCTTACAGAAGCTCATTCCCCCCCCCCCCCATAGAGTGTGATTCAGCTTTAGTGTATCTAGTGTCCTCTTTATTTGTTAAGCTTTTATTTAATTACTTAATTTATTTGCCATTATGAAATAGGATATCACCAGGAAGGAATAGATATTTGTCTATTGACAATCAACAGACTGAGTACTTCAAATATTTATTTGTAGGTGACAAATGCATATTGTTGACTGAATAAACAATTGACTCTTTATAGAGCAGAATTAATGATCGAACCCAAATTGTTTACCAAATGTAATATATTTTATTCACATTATTTTTTGTCACTAGACAACCAATGTCCAAGAAAGTGCAATGCCAAGTGCTAAATGGGAAAAAAAGAAAGAATGGGAAACAAAGCTGGAAAAGATCATGGATTATAGTGAAATTATCACTTGCACAATCAGGCAGAGTTCTACTGAGCCTCCCGGAGTGATGGATCTCCGTGGCATCACCAGGACACTTTAGAATTCTACATTGCCTTATACTTGCCCCATAAACCATCTCTCTAAATGTCAAGATGGGAAGGAATGTGGAGAGTTTTCTCTGAACCCATATGGAATAAACCTTTCTTAAAAAATAGACCCTTTCCTGGTTTATGTGCCTATCTTCCTCTGAGCTTATGGAACATACAATTGGGGTGTCTGGGATCTGATATCCTTCCAATCACTTCCCTATCACTGTGCACTATTTTCTTGTTACATATTGGAGTTTTTCAAGTCCAGATCATTGTCCTTCCTTTTGAGTCTTCTTTCATATATCATTAGCACTGTTCCAGCCATTTTCATATTCTTTTTATTTATTATTATTTTATATATTTGTTTTTTTTATTTTAGTCAGTCAAGGGCCTGAACTTGAGGCCTGTACACTGTCCTGGAGCTCTTTTTTTTTTTTTTTCTTCAAGAATAGTGCTAACTATTTTGAGACACAGCACCACTTCTGGTTTTCTTGTGGTTAATTAGAGATAAGAGTCTCATGGATTTTTCCTGCCCAGGCTATGAACTGAGATCCTCAGATCTCAGTCTCAGTAGAACAAGCATGAGCTACCTGCATCCAGATCCAAATTTCTTTTGATCTGTGTTAAGAAGAATTAAAATGTCAACCCTAGGATTTAAATTCTAGTTTTTTCTGAGCTATCAATTTATGGAAGTATGATTCTATTTCAAGAAAACTGGATGAGTGATTTTTTCCCCCCAGTCTATACTAATTTGACAATTTCTTCTCTACTACATAGTTTTGGAGAACTGCGATTTGCTCCTGAGATCTACTTAAAAGTGATCAGGGAGCCGGGTGTTGGTGGCTCACACCTGTAATCCCAGCTACTTGTCAACTTCACATTATTGGTGTTGGAGTTAAATGATAATAAAGAATAAAGGAGAATACCTGACTAATAGTAATTGCTCCATTAAAATCTCCTCTTACAATTATTGGTATTATTTCCTACAGGTACACTAGGCAGGGATGGAGCAAATGGTGGCACTTAAAATCATTGAATTGTTTTGGGCTTTTCTCACAACCCCCATCTGGAGAAGATTCTCATTGTGGTCATCTGACCTTACCTACCTGACCCTTGTGGACAACACCAGCATCATCCTGGTGTCCCTCACCTTGGACCCCCACCTCCACACTCCCGTGTACTTCTTCCTTACCCACCTCTCCTTCCCCGACCTCAGTTTAACCACCAGCTCCATCCCAGGGCTGCTCTATAATCTCAGTGGACACAAGACCATCAGCTACATCGGCTGTTCCATCCAGCTCTTCCTGTTCCTCAGTCTCGAGGGTGTGCAGTGCTTGCTGCTACCCATCAAGGCTTAGGACAGGTTTGCTGCTGTCTGCAGACCCCCTCACTACACAGTGATCATGAGTCCCAGTCTCTACTGAGGCTTGGTGTCAGTAGCCTGGGGGTGTGGGGTGGCTAACTCTTTGATTATGTCTCCAGTGACCATACACTTAGCCTGCTATGGACACCACCAGGTTTGATCACTTCCTATAGAGAAGCTATCTCTGATTCAGATAGCCTGTGTCATACAGCTGCCATTGAGGACATCATCTTTGTCTTCAGTGGGCATTGTGTTGTCACCCTGGTGTTTATGTTAATCTTCAATGGCTGCATTGTAAGGGCCAAGTTCCAAATTCTGTCAGTGTCAGGGAAGCAAAGGCCCTTAACACATGTGGCTCCTGCTGCACGATGGTCCCCTTCTTTTATGGAAATGCCATGCACCTGTTCATGCAGCCCAGAAACAGCTCCTCCCAGCACCAGGGCAAGTTCTTCACCCTCCTTTACAACACTGTCGCCCCACCTCTCAGTCCTTTGATCCATAAGCTCAGAAACTAGGAGGGAAAGGGAGCTCCCAGAAGGCAGCTGCGGGGTGAGAGAGAAGTCAACAAGATGTAAGGAGACAACGATTAGTTACCTTGAACCTGGACTTCACGTCTGAAGGATCCGATCCTGAAATTCTCAACTGCCTTGCCTCTTTGGGACTTCAATTCAGCTGTGTTCTCCTATTATATGTTGTGTGCATGAACTATGTGATACATATAACCTAAAATCTCTCTTGATGAATCTGTCTGCAATGTGAGTCCGAAGAAGAAAATGAGGTAAATAATTGTACAGCTAAATTTCCACCAAGTTGCACCAGAGAATCAAATCAGAGACAACTTTTTCTAGAGTTTTTGTTTCTGTTGTTAATGACTCAGTGGTTACACTTGGGTACCAATGGACCAATTACGGGATTCGTAATCCTAACTACTCAGGAGGCTGAGATTTAAGGATTGTCATTCCCAATCATCCTGGGCAGAAAAATCTGTGAGACTCTAATCACCAATTACCAAAACCTGAAAATGAAGCTGTGGCACAAATGATAGAGTTCCAGCCTTCAGTGAAAAAGCTTGGGGACAACACCCAGTTCCTGACTTCAATTCCAGTACTGGGGCATGTGTGCGCACGCTCGCGCGTGAACACACACACACACACACACACACACACACACACACACACACACAAATTTACTTAACAGTATAAGAGAAACATTTTTTTTTTTGCTGGGCCTGTGAATTAACTAAAAGCTGGGCACCTAACCCTCACCCCACTTTTCATCTGGCCTCTTTGATCTGAACCATTCCCATTTTATAACAACCTTGAGCTCTAGGAAAAATTAAATTCACAGTTATATGTCTTGTGACAAAAGGCAAACTGCCCCTCACTCAGGCAGTGCTTTCTTATTATAGACCACTTGCCATCCCTCAATAGGTAAAGGCTGAGATAATCACCAACCAGGCCATATTTGTGACTTGGCACTGTTTTGGGTTTTTATACTTTCTCATGCCACACTCTCATTTTCTCTACTTAAATGGTACCCAGGAGAAAGTTGAAGATGTACTGAAATGCTGTTGTCCCAAGGCTGCCACATAATCTCCTTTC